AATGAGTCCCAAACAACCTGGGTAAGTGGCTAGCTAGCCCTTCATCTTTCAGAATGAGTAAATGGCATAGAATGACTTAGGCCTTCATTTACTCCATACAATTAAGAATTTAGATTCCCAATTTAGATTTTTAAAAAGGAACTCATTTTCAGAGAACACAGTCCTGGCAGCTCACAATTTCCTTTCTGAATACAGGTATTGCCACACTGCTGAATACATGGGTCTTTACCTGCAGCATCATCTATGCCAGCAGCTTCAAGGGACTCTCTAATGTCTGACTAATTAATTTCGCCCAGTGACAGAGTTTTATCTGAATTCTCGTCCTTGTTGTTAGGAATAGCAAATCCTTCTCAGAGTAAAGCTGAACTCCAGGTTTCAATGATAATACATGTCAGAGTGTACCAGTGCTTAAGAGACAAGACTTTGAAATGTTCCTTATTTTGTTTCCTTGTCTTATTAGAAACGTATTTCTTGCCTTCCACTTACATCAGCCTTCCTAGTGAAATAGAAGAAGGTATCATTTTACTAACGTACAGAGCCTTGCTATCGCCTGTATCCATCTTTTCCTGTCTGTGCAGTACAGCTCTCCCCACCATCCCTATTAATGTATTGATTTGTCACTGCACTTCCTCTGTTCCCACTAGTTAGCTTGAAGGATGGGTGACTAAAACTGAGCAATGTTCCAAAAGGATAATGTGAGATACTTTCAGAATTTATTTTCTCCTATCCATTACATTATAGTTGAAGTTATTGAGGGTTTTAGCTTGTTGCATTTCTGTGCAGAAGTTCTGATGGTTCCTTTCTGTATGCATTAATTTACATTTACCAATATGAACGCTGAACCTGAACTCCTTCCCTGATTTTACCTTTAGGGTATTACCTACATCTATCTGCTCAGCCTTTGGTATTTTTCAGTAATAAATGCCTGTTTGACTGGAAAAAGCACCAGAAGCCATATACATCAACACTTGCATGACTACTTGTGACCCTTACACAACCATGTATGAAAGTCAAAGTCTGATGCTTTTGCTTTTCTGATCTTCACATCAGGTTCTTCAGCTTTTTGAAGATTAGGCCAAGTTTTCACTTTCAAGGGAACCTGTGTAAAACAAAGAACAACATAAAACGTGACCTGGACGTGAGTAAAGGTGCTGCCAAGTCACAATCCCCTTTTTCTTTCATGACTTTGTAAATTCCAGGTTTTACAGAACCAGCTTGGTTTTCCAATTCTGTGTTTCTCTCCTGTCCCTTTAGCAATCTGTCTCCAGCAGGACAGTGCATGTGCCAAGGAATGTCTAGATTTAAACAAAACAAGTCGAAGATCCTGATGTGGCCTGAGGCCAAAGATGTGACACTGCCCATGTCCTTGTATCTCAGCTTTCTTCCTCCCAGTACAAATTGGTGGTGCCCAAAGTACCATTTGGGAGCAGTCTCAAGTGCAGCTGTCCCCAGCACTGCCCCTGAGAAGTCTCTGGAGGCTGCTGGTTGGCAGGACCGAGCACTGTATCAGGCAGAGTGCTAAACAGACCATGCCTGTAGTCATGTCCCAGTGCTTCAGCCAGGGTCCCAGGCCTGTTTCCTGGTATAAATGAAGCCCAAGTGCCTGAGCAAACAACACAAAGGAAAAGAAAACTGGTTCTCAGTTTTCTTCTTTTGAGTGAGTTTCAATTACAAAGGAAGAAAAGTCATTAGAGCAGATCCCTCTCCTGCTGGAACGCCAGGTTAGAAAACAGAGCTGGAGGCTCTGGTGCATGCAATTCATCCTTGAGGCAGGAGGAAACCTTCTTTTCATTTTCTGACTGTAGTTTCAGTCCCTGCATGGCCTAACCCTTGACATAGCTTCCGGAAGCTGGGAAGCTGCTCTGCTCTCTGCTGCAAGCTGCTGTGATAGCCCTGGGTCTGATAGAGCAGCTCTGTCATGCCTCTATACCATAAGGGATTGAACTGGAAGCCAGAGAGTTCTTTGCTGCCCCTCTGGGTCACAGCTTTTTCTCTGCTGTTGACTCAGTAGTACAGAGTAAGCAGAATGAGGGCAGTGGGCTCAGCTGCTGGGATTTTTCTCGTACGACAAAGTGAGGGGGGAATGGGAAGACTAGAGAGGGTTACTCTGTAAAATAAACTGCATGCTTCCTGAAGAGCGAGACCTTTGTATCAGCTAAAACCCTTGCTCTGTGTGATGGGAAAAGCATTGCTTGCATTCAAATTCTCTTTTATTCTGAAAGCTGTCTGACACAAGTTTCAAGGTGTGGTGAAGGAATAACATACTAACCTTTTTTTATGCATGGGATGTCATGAATGATACCACAGAGCAGCTTCCAGTATCTGAAGGGGGCTACAAGGATGCTGGAGAGGGACTCTTCATCAGGGACTGTAGTGATAGGACAAGGGCTGATGGGTTCAAACTGAAACAGGGGAAGTCCACGTTGGATCTAAGGCAGAAGTTCTTCCCTGTGAGGGTGCTGAGGCGCTGGCACAGGGTGCCCAGAGAAGCTGTGGCTGCCCCATCCCTGGCAGTGTTCAAGGCCAGGTTGGATGGGACTTGGAGCAACCTGGTCTAGTGGAAGGTGTCCCTGCTCATGGCAGGGGGTTGGAACTGGGTGATCTTAAGGCCCTTTCCAACCAAAACCATTCCATGATAATCAAAAGGTTCCCGCCTTACCTTAAAGATTTCGTGGGAGCACGTGAAAGTTAAATTCTTGATCCCAGCAGCTTGAATCAGAATACCAGAGTACCCAAATTCTGGCAAATGAGGAGCTTCCTAAGGAGAGTGTGGAGCTCCTCTGAGTGAGGCAAGAGAAAGTACTAAGCACAGGAGCAGACCCCAGGGTAACCTTCCTCTCTAGAGTTCATGCTCTCCCTTTAAAAAGCAGCCACATGGAATCCCATCTTGAGGGTATACATGATCAAGCTTTACACTTTCACGAGGCAATAGCAGCAGTAACTTGCACTTGCTCGAGGAGATATGTGGGATTCAGGTGTAAATGCAGGTGTGCTGACTGTAGTAGTAAGGTACTCCAGGTGCTGAATAACAGTGGAGGCTGTGCTGCCTCTCAGTTGCTGCAAGAGGACAAGATGGAGCTGCAGGTAGGAGAGTGCCTACACTTGTTAACACTGGAGAAACATTGCAGTACAAATGCAAGCACTGTTTGGGTTTAGGAATCTCCCAGGTTGGCGAATTGCTGCCAGCATCAGATTTTTGGGTTGCTTTATTGAATTTAGACACATTCTACCTAAGTAAATTTCTTCTTTAGTCTTTGCTCTTGACCAAAATCAGTTAACTTGCAGCACCACAGGGTTTGGTTTTGTAATCCAGCCATGCTTAATCACTGATATAAAACAAGATTTCTTTCTCCCTTCAGATTCTTTTCTAATGGCTTCTTCTTTCTTGCCCTTTAAGTGTGCTCCTGAATTCTCTGCATCTCTTTATAAGGGCTTCCCCGCTTCCAGGAGCATTGAATCCTAGAGAAGTCTTATCAGCAGATCATTAGCATCAAATGTCAGCAGTTACTTCATTTCTGACATGCAAATTGATGTTAGTCTTCCTTTCCAAGCTCGCTGTCACACAGTGTAACATGTGGTACACAGAATTGTGCTCTCAAGAGTTATTGTAGCAGGACAACAGTTGGGAGAGCTAAACCATCAGATGTCAGTCATCACTGTTTCCCAAGAGCTGGTGAATATCTCTGTATCTCATGGTCACTCTAATTTTTGGGGGGTGGGGCGAGGAGAGCGCTGCTTATTTCTGCTTTCTTTTAAACCCTTCCATTTTTCTTTAGCTTCTATCAGAAACATCATGGTGCCCTTCACACCAGACAGAATAAACCCAGCAGCTGTAATGGGTGCTTTTATCTTTGTTGAGTATGTCTGGGAAGAGAATTACTCAGTTGATGCTTGGAGTGACAATGTCTTGAACTACACAAAGAAGATTGAAGCTGCTGTCCTCTCTTGGAATTTTGGAAAGTGCCAATAATGGTAATAGGAACTCAGCTTTTCCAAGGGCCCTGAAACTGTGAAGGGATTGATTCATCGGAACACTGGAGTGGCTTCAGGATGTGTTTAAAGTTAAGCATATGTTTGGGGGAATTGTTAACCTCAAGTGTGTGATCAAGTGCTTTGCTGACTCAGGGACGAGACATTCCTTACAGCTTGTTGTTTTCCACTTTGCCATCTGGGAAGAGGCAGCTTGACAGCATGTGGGCTGTGTGAGACATTAGTGCGTTTCTGAAGGGGTTTTAACAGCCTTGATGTTTTCAGGTTCTCTGAATCAGGAAATCTTTGTCTCTGCAGACCTAACGGGGGTTGAACAACTTCACCGTAGTGTTTGAAAGCAAACTGACTCTGCCACAGCATTGGTTAGGTTATCAGACAACCTGTGCCTAATAAAACCAATCTCATGTTTTAGTGGAACCACCACAGATGCAGATGGGAAGCTTTACAGAACATGCAGGTTTGGGGTGTGAATTGTCTCTTTCAGCTATCTTAGGAAGTCTCTTTTGCACCTGGACAACTGTAAGAGCCCAAGTTTGCCAACACTTGTAATTATAGAGTCATCTATCCACTACACCCGTTTTCTGAGCTGGGGGTGCACATCCGTATTTATAGGAAATAAATACTGTTACAGGCTGTTAAGACAACTCATTCTCATGCTGCAGCCAAAAGAGTGCACAACACAGACCTGTTACTGCATTTGTGGGTGAAGTGCAAGATATCTTGATCCCTTGGGATTCTCCAAATGATTTTAACTTCCCCGAAATTTGAGAAGTTCACCTAAATATCTCCCATTTCACTCCCCCATCTGGTCAGCACACACTTCTCCTCCTCCTGGGGATCTAATCTGATACCTTTCCAGTCTGCCATGTAACACTCTGAATTTAAAAGCCATTTCTGTACTGTTGTGCTGCTTTGCATTTTGGATGGATACTTACAGAAGAAAAGGTGTTTCTTGTAACAAAATGCATTTCTCTGTGGGAACTATTGGCTTTTGTTTTTTTCTCTTCCAGTGACAAAATGTTCCCAGCTTTTGGATTTGGAGCAAGGATACCCCCGGAATACAAAGTAGGTAGATTTATGACATTTTCTTATTTCCTTGGTTTATGAGACACAAAATAAGTGAGAAATGGTTCAGTGCAAGACAGGGGCTAGGGGGAACAGCTCCTAGTGCTTGTTTTCATTCGTCTGGCTTTCTCACTCAGTGATAACCTCACTAAAACCAGAAATCAAGGCTAGACTTGTGTTACATCCAAAATAGGTCATGGGTTTGGCAGAGCTTTGTAAATGGGTGTTAGTCTGGTAAGAGAACTTGCCAAGCATATTTTGAAGATTCATGAGCCCTGCTTTGGCAGAACCCATTTTTGGAAGATGTGGTTCAGTGAGTGGCCTAGTGTCCATGCTTTGTGCTGGAGATGGGGACATACAATTAGCTTGGTGTCTATCATGGGTGCATCCAGCTGGAACTGGATTAGGAATTAAGTCATCTGTGCTATTGTTTAGTCCCTCCCCATGATACTCTACATAGTCCATAGAAGTATCTGTCTTCTTAAACTGTATCAACATTTTCATGTTCCTGCTTGGCTTGGCTTCACTTCTGAATTGAAAGATACACCCTCTGCAAGAGTGAAGACTCATCATGATCCTTTAAATACGTCAAGACCAATAAACCTGTAAATCCTTTAATAATTCAGTCTACACAGGTATCATAAAGTTAATTTAAAGCCAACAATGGCTGGTGTTTGATGTGGAGCACAGCCAAGATGCTTAGGAAACATGGAAGAAACTGAAACACTTAAAAGCAACAAAGACTACTCTGAACTCATCTCCCCTTCTTACCTTCTGCTGCAAAAACCACTATGGACACCACAGCAGCACTGCAGATCTCATGCTATTCAAATGTTCTTCTAATGTTTTCAGTCAAAGGTATTACAGGTCATACACATCTTTTGGTTTATTAAATGACAGCAGTGTCACAACTAATAATTCACATCTTCATATGCAGGTTGAATCAATATAAGAACTCCAAGTTCTGCACCCATCATGTGGATTCATCAGGTTTTTATTTTACTTCAGTGTCTGCTTTTGAGCTTCCAGTCCTCATGAGGTGATGTAACCTGCCCGTAGCACATTGGTCTCTGCACACCAGCAGCTACTTTTTCATTTCATCCAGCGACAACAGATTGCAAGGTTGTAGAACTGATTCCCACTGCCAAGGGTTTCTAAGTAACCAGGAGAGCCTCCACACAACTTAAGCAACATAGCTCTCTTAAAGGTCTAAATGAAAGCTGACCAGTGTATGCACGGCAGTAACACAGTAAGGGAAGGCCAGAGCCTTCCCTATCAGCAGCCTGATAAAAACAGTAGGCAAAGTTACATCATGTTTGGTCACATGGTTTAGAAAAAT